GTAGTTCTCCACTACAGCTAATGGGTAAACATCTCTCAGGGAGCTGTAAAAGAAGGAAAYGGTGCTAAAAGTCCCTCTTTAGTAATTATCCAGTCTAAACTAGTGCCACGTGCAACAGCAATTGCTACAAGCAATTCATCCTGAAAATTCTAGATAGGAGGAAAAAAAGAAAAAAAAAAAGAAAAAAAAAACAGGGCTGTGGGCCTATACCTATCAATGCTACCAGGCAGAACGCAGCTGACACACAGGGAATAATTGTTTCTGGCAACATTTCAGCTCCTCTTGCTGTGCCACATTGTGGAATTCACTGGCTACCACAGATAGCACTTTCTCACCCATTAATATCTGTCACCCTTCCCATTTCTCACAGTCCCCTTTGCATTTCTCACAAACCTCTAATTTATGTAATTCCCACCACCTCCTTTCCTCACATAGAGGTTGCCCCATACTCTTTCCCTACAGTTTTTATACCTCCAAACAATCAAATCTTTCCTCTATCAAATGAATGTTAGCCTCTTTGGCTTCCAAACACATCTTAATTTCCCCATTCACGGTGAGATTCAACATCTTCTCCTTAATCTGCCTATTGTCTTCAGGTCTTTCTGAACAATTCATAGCTTCTTAGCTAGCCATCTTTCATATCCTTTCTTACCTCCCTCAGACCAACATCAGTTATCTTTCTCTCTCATGGATCCCTCCTTCTCTGTTTCCCACATAGCCTCACTCCTTACACCTTTCAATGGGAATTAAGCTAACCAGAGTAGTAGAAATGGCAGGTCAACTGTAAAGAACTGCAGAAGGGCCTAATGAGATCGAGAGGTTGAGCAATAAAATGGCAGATGAAATTCAAGGTTAATAAATGTAAAACAACACACATAAGAAAAAATAACATAATAATCTCAGAAATAATCTCAGATCTGATCATTGCCACCCAGCAACAAGATTTTGTGGATATAATGAACAGTTCCATGAAAATGCCAGCTTGGTGCTCAGCAACAGCCCCCAAAAGCATGTAAAATGCCATGAGTTAATAAGGATRGAACAAGAGAGCAGAATAAAGAAGGTCCTAATGCTAAGGGATAAATCCTGGCTGCACCTGAATGCTAAATACTGTGTGAGGATCTGGTCCTTCATCTCAAACAAGATAAAGCAGAACTAGAAGGGGTTGAGACAGGAATGAACAAGATAATCAGAGAGATCACAGCAGCTCATATATGAACAGCTCACATGTGAACTACGAATAACTCAGGCTAAAAACAGATCATTAACAGTGGGGCTGGTAGAATTTTGTGGGGCACATAGGTATTAAATGGAGATTGGCTCTTGGCATCAAAGGAGGTTGGTAGGTGGCAGGTTCTGACAGACAAAAGGAAATGTTTTAGCATTCAAAATGTGCAGCAAGTGCAATGCGGAACTTCCTGCCATAGAAGATCCTGGAGGCTAATGGCTAGAAGATTATTTGGAGCTATAACTCCAAAATGACTAGGCACCTCCATGGAAGKAAAATCTATCAAGGGCTATTAATACAAAACAATCATATTTAGCTCAGGAAGGCCTAGGGTTGCAAATATAGGCTGGGAGATCATGCTAGGAAAATATCACTTTTATCACTGCTCCTATATTCTTCCCTAGGTATCCACTATTGGTCTCTGTCAGAGACAGGATATTGAGCTGGATGGACCTTTGGTCTGACCTCAAAGAACCTTTCTGATGTTCCTGTGTTTATATTTTTAACTGGCTATATGGATGCTCCTTGCACTTTCACCTCCCACTGCACAATACAAAAAAAAAAAAAAAAAATCCTCCTGTCTACAGCAGATAACTGAGGTTGAGCAAAAATACAAATCCCAGCGCATCTTTGTTGAAGAATTCTCCCCAGATAAATTTGGATACTAACCTAGTCTTTAATCTAGAGTGGGATTAGCTGGGTTGCTGACAGAGCATCCTCCCTGCAGCCCTGATCACCTGAAACAATCTGTGCACAATGTCCCCTTCCTGATCCCCTGTCTCCTAAACTCTCATCTTAAAACCTGACTTTCAAGCCTGCCTTCAACCTCTTCATTTCTGTCTCTCCTGGTTATTGGTCTTATGACTGAATGCTTTAATATTTTCACCATGCAAGGTCTTTATGTCACTGTTTCATGTAATTTATACCTGTGAGCTGGAGCCTTTCCCATCTCACTCTCAAACACAGGCCATACGCGGAAYGGAGTCCAATATCGCCCCCACCCCCTTCTTGCTTTGGGGGTTTGGCTTTATTAACAAAGATATAAGCAATAAGATAATAAAGTTCTGCTGTTTCTACGCCTTTTCCCTCATGACTGCTCCGCTAGCATCTGAGATGGCTTCTCCCCAGCAAGCCATTTTTATCTGCCTTTTACACAAGTGAACTAATAAGGCACCTACCTCAGTGAGTCAGCAGAACCCACTTAACCCTTTCCCAGAAGGGTCAAAACTTGCTATCAGGATGGCTCGCCTCRGCCTCGTTACAGAACCGCGCACTGCCCCTCAGCCTTGAATAATTTATTTGTGCGGCAGGCCTGCAATACCGTTTAAATCAAAACGCTGCCCAAACAAAGGCTGTGCTGCACAGTGCAAAATGAAACCCATTACTACATCTTATGAGGTTCGTCTTTTAACAGTGTAAGATGCCCCCTACAGTACCTGCAGAGGACAAACATTTCTGTTGAGAACAGCAGCATCAGAATAGAGACTTTCGGAGGAAACCAGCCTTTGATAAGAAAAGCAAATTCAGTCTCAGAAGGTATTGTATACACTTTGATCCATCAAAACTTAAGTAACTGCTTAATGTTATGAGCCATTGAAGAGAGAATACTATTCATGTGCTTATGCTTACGACCATTCCTTGGATGAATCTAGCACCTTGATAAAGAAAGCTCCAGCTATACATATGCATTAAATTGTTTTGCACACAGCACCTTTGCCAGAATAAAGAAGAGAGGAAAATGCCTGTCGTAGGACACATTGCAGAAATTCAATATAAAAATCTCATAATATTAATCAAAGCCTGAAATGCCATTGCTTTTAAGAAAAACTTCACAGAAATATGCAGAACAAAGGGAGACATTGYATTATACATTATATTGTAGTAGAAGTACATTATAAGCCTTGCCACATGTCCTGGAACATTAATAAAACCATGTTCCTTATGTACTTGAAAAATGTAATCTGAGTTTACTCCAAAAAAAAATCCCCACAGAAGTAAAATATGTTTTTTTTCTCTTCTTATTTTTATACCCCTGTTATTGTTCAATCATCTGATTTTGAGACTCCCTTTCATTCACCTGGCAATAAGTAGCTCTCATTTACGCTAGTCCTGGCTGTCAGAAAGAGGTATCTTTATCTTCAGAGAAGCAGGGATAATGTCTAATCAGTGACTTATAGTTGAGAGAAATGATTCCAAGTTTAGGAAAATTGGCAGCTGCATTTTGTTATCAGTAACCATTATTTAGATAGCAGTGCTGATGTGCATGGCGCCATACCGATAAGGGTAAAGAGCAGGTCCTTGCCCTGTGCAGCTTACTGCCTATATTACAAAATTAAAACGCTGAGAGCTACTAATATAATAATAATAGTGAGCTCTGCACATCCCAGTGAGAGGGCGAGGAGATGGCAACCCAACGGCAAGACAAAACTACTAAGGGAGAGCAGGGATGCTCTGATGCATTGTCCCTCCATTGCTCTTTGTTTCACAGACAGCTGTGCCAGAGGGTTTCAAAATGCAGTCCATACAGGAGRGGGAACAGATCATTCCAGTGTGGAAAAACTGGCCTGGCTGTTTCAAGAGAGAGCTGGAGGATGTTGGCTCGTGGTAGGGAGTTGAGTGCTGTGATGTATTAAAGGCACAGCAGCCCCACAAGGAGGCTGTGGCAGAGCTGGCAGAGCTGTGTGTCACCCCGAAGCTCATGGGGCTTTGCAGAAGGGCTCTGACCCATAGCTCTGCACTAAGTTAACACGGACACTGTTCCCTTCACTCACTCTCAAAAATGGGCTTTGAGCTCACATGATAMAAACTGCATGTTACCTTTATCAGGCAAACTACACCTACCATTTCCTAAAAATTAGATTCAAAGTACTGCATTCATCAGACATACATTTTATCCTGAGTTAAGTAGGTAAGTCTTTGCCTGGTGCCTTCTTAACAAAGCTTTAACTATACATCATTTCATTATAAGAAGTAAGTTTGCTTATCACTCTTCTAAGGCAAGAAYCTTGAAAACACTACATGACAATATGACCATAGACATAAAAGCACAGGCTTAGCTGCATTCATACAACAAACTGAAATCAGTGCTCCACAAAGCCACCCTAATCTAGTGGCAATCCTAATGCTAACTCTGTCTCTTTAGAGTGATCAGAACATAATTTTAGATGTCTGTTAGTAGTACAGCATCTTTCCTATTGCTGATGCAAAGTTATCAGCACGCACCAATCATTTTGGAGTAAAGGTGACTCCATCTAATACAGAACAATAGTACCACATGAGTATATAAATTACTGTTTTGAACTTGTAATAAAAATGAGGCATTTTCTTGTTTCATGTATTTCATGTGCATGTATTCGCCTGAACTGTCTTAGTTCTGTAGACATTCCTAAGCTGGTAGAGAAAATGAAGCCTACCTGGCAATATCTTCTCAGTGGAATAAAGTAAAACTGATTAAGGAAGGAACATTCTTCGAGTTCCTAGAAAAGGCTGTTGGCTTCTCCCATTTATGATCAAAAGGCTCCTAGAGAAAAATATGTCCAGTCTTTAACAAGGCTAGGAAATTGAAATAACCAAAAATGGGATGTGATTGGTCTTTTGAATTGAGGTGTGCCACCATTACTTGCTCTTGCTGCTGAAACGTCCTCTGGCTCCTAATGGCTTCTACCTTTGCGATCCTACCTACATTGATCATTTAATAGTAGCATCATCTTTCTCACAAACCACAAACACTTCCAAAACTTGACCTCCTCCCTTTACAGCTTTTGATTAAGAGAAGAGAAATATCTGCAGGAAATGCCCTACAAACCACAAAGGATTATTAGAAATATAATGATGAGTGATTCTGGGGCTCTGTGACTCTGTTTGTGTTCCTATAATCTGATCTTTGGTCACTCTTCCTTTCTCCGACGGAGCTTTGCAGTGGTTTCTTCTAGTCTGCTTCTCCAAGCAGCAATAATAGCATCATCATCCATCTCTTCTTCTTCCTCTTCTTTACGAATGCGTCTCCTGTACTGAGAGAACTCCCTTGATGCAAATCTCTCTTCACTTTGTTCCACTTTGGCCTCTTTCTTTCCATCCTCTTCAGACTTTGAAAAGCTTTGGGTGAACTTTCTCTTAGCTCCAAATTCTGACATGTCTGACCTAGCCTCCTCTTCACATTCCTCCACACGATGAGATCTAACTCGGCTCTGTGTAGACGGATCGGCGGATTCAGAGTCAAAGGATGGTTCAGGTGTTCGTCTGAAATCATACAGATCTGGGCTCTTTCCTCCTGAACTTGTTTCACTGACCCTCGACCTTGTGAACTTATACATCTTTTTGTCCTCTCTTTCAGAAGCAGAAGAAAATCTTGACATGGTTCTCAGTGAATCTCCTTTTGACTCATAGGAAGATGTGCTATTTAGCTCTTCTCTTTGGGATCTGCAGAACCTGTAACTGGATGTTTCAGAGTCCATCTCTCTAACTTTGGATGTTCTGTTATATTTTTCTCCAGCCTTCTCACTTTGATCATTGTATGATGGTTCTCTTTCTTTCAGACCACTCAGCCACTTGGTAATGTCAGTCTCTACCTCAGACTTCAGTGCACTTGCATTTGCAAATTGACTAGAAAGAGCAAATGCTCTATCGGTTCTGTCAAGATCTGTTTGGAAGGAGTGTYTGTGGCTGCCTGATGTGCTCTCTGTGTCATCTTCATTTTCACTTTCCTCTCCTTTGGCCACCCTCTTTTTAAATAAAGTACTGCGTTTGTTGTCTCTGACCACCTTTTCAATCTGATAATCTGACATTTTCTCTCTCATTTCCATTTGCATCTCCTTCTCCTTCCTCCTGAGTTTCTTCAAATCAACATCATCAGCAAAGAGGCTGTACAGTGGTTTGCTTGTCTGTGTTACCTTCATGTTTGAACCAGTCCCTTCTGTTCTTGCACTCATTGAGGTATTGCAAGACAGGACAGACTGAGACTCAGCCCTCTGCATCTCCTGCTGGCGGCACTGAGAGGTAGCAAGGGACACACCACTCTGAGCACTGAGAAGGGAAACTTTATCATCATCTACACGCCTGCCAAGGTCTCCTGACATTACACTGGAGGCCATTGCAGAAGGAGGACGGGACAGCATCATGATCTCATTTTGCTTCTGAGCAATGGTTTCACTGACCACATTAGCAATCCAGTTCTGAATGCTTGCCATGGATATTGTGTCACCTGGGCCAACTGGGAGGTTAGGGAGGGGTATACTTGGTGTCTGGGGTCGCGCTGCCCCAGCAGCACTCCTGGCCTGGGATACAGATGAGTGATTTGTTCGCATGCTCAAGACAGAAGATGCATCTTCAGTACCACTTGCAGAAGGTGCAGAGGGCCAGAAAGCTGACAAGGGGATACTCCCACTCATTGTACTGTCTGTCTCCCAGCTGCACATGGACTGGCTCTCTTCTAAGATTTTCTTTGAACGTTCAAGGAGCTCTGCTCGCCTCTGCTTCTTTTTGGCTGAAGCAGAATCCTCACTTTTGGCAAGTTCCACAAACTCCTCCTTGCTTTCACTGCCCAGCTTTTTCTGACGCTTCATTTTCCAAGCCTGGTAAGCAGACAGGTTAATATCTGACAAGCTCTTCCCTTCTGTCACCTCTCCACCAGTCTGGCTGCCATCTTCAGCTGGAGATGGAGCAGAAGAAGACGATGAYTCCAAATCCTTCTTGTGAAAGCCAAACTGGATTCTTTTGACCTTCCACCTTTCCAGAGGAGTAAGCTTGTCTTTGTTCTTTTGGCAGAAGTTGTAAAAGGAGCTACAATCTGAAAATACGCTCTCCTCATCCACATCCCTCTCCTTGCTTTCTGTTTTGGAGGACCAGCTCTCCCCACTGCTTTTATTCTTAGAACGATACCTCTGTGTGGCTTCCTTCTCAATCTCCAGAAGTCTCTGGTTCCACATGTCCCAAGTGCTCTCAGAAGAAACAGAGCCTGTGCGGCTCCTCCTCATCCTATTACAGCTACTGGTTTCCAGCTGTTGTTTGAGAGTTCGGATCTCAAGACTACTCACGCTCTCAACATCACTGAATTCCCCTGGTGGGTAATCTCTTCCTCCCATGGTGAAGTCTCCATCCTCCATTTGGTATTTCTCATTTCTGCGCTGCCAGTCATGGATTATCTGTTCCACATCCTCCTCAGATTGTTCTCCTTCCTGAGCCAGAAGTTTTGGAGATGTTTGCCTGCCGTGGTTAGTTGCTAGTTCCTTTGCAGGCAGGCCTTGTTTCTTCCTCCATTCCTCATAGAGCTGTTCCTCTTCCTCCTCACTGATGAGGGTGGAATGTTTGGAAGCCCAGCTAGCTTTTCCCACTGATGGAGAGCTCATAAGACTACCCAGCAGGCTGCTGGTGTCCTCTTCTTCTACCATGATAGAGTGGGCTTTGGCTCCCATGATGCTTTCGGAGTCCCCAAATCCAGATAGCTGGGAAGAAGTCTCTGTGTGGACAAGAGGACTTTGACTGGGAGTGAGTTCATCATCTCCAGTATTCTCCAGCTCTCGTTCCTCCAACAATTGCTCATTGAGCTCTCTTAGCTGCTTCAGGAAGCCATCATTGGGATAAATGGCACGCTTCTTCCTCAGAGTCATGAGAGCCTGCAGAATGGTCATATGGTGGTAGATCATCAGGTAAGCAGCCACCAGCACAGCTGAGCGACTGATTCCCATTTCACTGCTGACAAGGATTTTGCCTGCAGATGTTGAATATAAAAGTAATTAGCTATTTCCAATAACAGAGAGAGATTGCTCTGATAGGTGGCAAAAAGGCTATTTCTGAATACTGTTAAAGATCAGATTGCATGTTTCAGTAACTGACACCAATACTAAAGATTTCTTGCTAGTTTCCTTTGTTTTGTCTTAATAAAAATTTGGATAGATATGCATAGGAAGCATGGTAGTTGCAAGAGCTGTGGACATACATGTCCTARAATAACAAAATATTCATATTTTTACCTATATTGTCACTTCCCAAATAATTGCAAAGATTATTAGGAGGAATTAGAAAGACAAGAAATACAGCATTCTTGCTGGGTAGCGTAGGGTAACACATTAAAACTCTCCATGGATCAGTTTCTCTAGATGTCAAAAAGAAGATATTAATACTAGCCTCTAGGCTGAATTTTTGCTGAATTAAAGATTTGCTATTTTGCAAGGTTTATTGAAACAGTTACCTGCACACTGGCTGCAGGAAAGTGTGATATTGTGTCACATTGTCTCAGAACCAGTAGGATCACACAACTAGCAGAACAGAGCTGATTTTGACTCTGATAATCTCCAAACTACTGGGACTCACAGTTCTGTAAACCTTGCCTGTAAGAGCTAGCATCAAAGCTGAGAATCTGCTGTATTTCATGGTAACAAAGAAACTGCATTTGTGGCAAAGCTAAGCTTTGTCATGAAGGATTTTTTTAAAAATAAAAGTAATAGCAAATTACATTTACAAAGAAAAACTTGTAAGTATGAAGAGAGCGTAGGTGAGGCTTTGTTAGCCTCACCATACCCGCATGTAAAGATAAATACCCTGCCTTCTGCCCAACTACAAATGTGGTACTGTTTATTACAGTAACACTTCAAGACATTAATTCCCATTAATTAATCCTCCATTAATTTTAGACCCAGTACAGTCTTTCCCTCATACCTCTGTAAGTTAGCAGTGCTTCATCCACAAATTCAGCAGCTGGACGGAAGTGTTTGGAGATATCTATATCTGGAAAATCATCTACTTCAATGCCCAGGTACTGGATATTCAGACCATTGTAAAAACCTGGTCCTGTGTATACACCTGTACCATGAGCTGCATTCAAGACATGAGTGATCCCCAGTCTCTTCAAACGGCTTTTGTTCACTGCAACACTTCTTCAAGAAAGAAAAGGAGATGTTAGATATTGGTCTTCCTGTTTTGGGGTAGGAAAAAAGCTGTCTGCTGCAAATGCTACAGAATTCGCAATCCGGGCTACTTATCTAACACGCTGCTCCTCTCAGCTATAAGGTCCTTCGAGAGTTCTACAGATATTTCTCTCCAATATTCATTGGGAAAAGAAAATGAGAAACTTGCACTCGCCAGTATAGCTACATGCTCAGTTCCACTTTAGTGTGATTTAAAACTCATCCTGCTGTCTTAGGTTCAGGCTATTTACTCATTTCTCTACTTTTTATCAGCCCATAATTGATGTCTTATGTTATATTCTCTCCTAATTCTTTCCTGGTCACAGGCACAGGTGTCTCAGACAGCTGAGCCATGGTTCAGAACATTTAGCCATTTCCTTTCAGTATTTGCTATGTTATTTATTTTTCACTCTTTTATATAATATGATGACTTTTGAGACTTTGGTCTCTCTTTTTTTTTTTTTTTTTTCAGGGCAAAATTCCAATCAGAAGAGTTTAATTTGGAGCTTACCTCCATTTTTCATTCCTAAATTGTTTGARGCACTAAAATAGCATAGAAAAACTGCTGAATTCTATTCCAATAATGCTTGCTTCTCAGCACACAGCTATCTTGGTGAGCATATTCTGAAAAACACCTTTGGGCTCTCTAGGGATGAAAGGTATTAGATACATGTAATATGTGTTATGCCTTTCATGGTTTCATCTGACCCTTCACTAGGAATCTTGTGAAACTCGATGACAAAAGTTGACACTTACTTTTCTGCTATGAAGATGTTAGGCCAGACTTCGTCCACAGCATCCCTGGGGGTCTCAAGCCTGTCCTTCACGAGTGCCCTCTGCAAGTCCATCACACATGGTGTGTTGAACAAGCTGGTGTCATCAATCTTTTCCTTAACTCGGTTGTAAAGGTCTTCCACCATCAACTGTTTTGCAGACTCTAACATCCCAGGACACACTGCATCTACTTTGACATCCTTTGTTTTCAGTTCTGGAATAAACTGACATTGTAACTAAAAGCATGTAAAACCAAAGGAAATATATAACCTACCTTTCTTTGTCCCTGAGACAACTCTTGTGGCTTACATTTTCCCCAGCAGCATCACACTATTCTAACTGAAATGTGGGCATTTGGACATGTGTATATTTACCAGGTAGCCTTAAGGTAGGTGGTGAAGGGAACAGCATATTACACTTTCCTCTCACTTCAGAGACCCACACTGGCCAAAGATCTTGGAGCTAAGAGCACACTGGCTCTAACCCCACAGGAATAGCAGAAGGCAGCTTGTTACAACTCGCAGCTAGTAATCAAACTGTACCTGCCACAGCAGTACATGATGCTGCAAGAGATTCACTTCACAACTTCAACAGAAGCTACCAAACTATCTACACAACGGCATTTCTTTGTATTTTTTTCATATCTAGGTCATGTGTGCTTTGCTCATAAAGGCCTATTTGGCATTTTAAGATTTCTAGATGAAAAAGGCAAAACAAATACAACTCAAGTCTCTATTACCTACATATTTCTGTTATCTTCCTCCTCTTACCTTCATTGATTATTTGCTTGGCAGCCACAGCAGATGACAGATGGATTGGCTCCATGAAGATGCTCTCTGTATCGGTGTCTGATACCATCGAGTATCTGCCAACCAACCACATCTCCTATTAGGCAAAGGCCTTCCACTAGGGCCCCATCTCCAGCACTACAGCCCTCTTCACCCATTCCAGAAGGCTGCAGGAAGAAATTGGGGCAGAGAGGATCCTCTGATGAACCTTTGTGTCTACAAAGCCCCACTTCTCCTTCCTGCTCCCCCCACAACAATCTCCAGGATAGTTCAACAGGCTTCAAATATGCAAGGGTTTGCAGGATGTCAAGACAGGTTCCATGGAAAAAGAGTTGCAGACAGTGCAAGAGAAGTGCAAGAGAACAGGCTTGTGGAGGAGGTTTTGGGTAGAGAAGATCCGTGGCTGATTTGATACCGGGAGGTGGATGGATCATGGAGAATAATCGTGCAAGTGGTTTTAACACAGAAAGACAATCATAAATATGATCCTAACTAGATTTTTTTCAACAATTCAAAATGAATTATRCTGGAAAAATGGCACTGTTTTTCTGTTAGCTAATTGCCTGCAAGTATCCTTTGAGTTACCAAGGGCTGCAGTACAAATATATGTACTACAGGTTGTAAATTTCTCCATAAGTACTTGCAACTCTATTTACTTCATAGCACAAATCTGTGATCAGTTGCTCCTGTCACATAGTGCTCTGTCACACAGCTGGAGGTCAGAAACAACTATGAAAACCACAAACAGCTTTCCAGATAGTTCTTTGGCTCACAGAGAGATTTACACAAGTTTCTGTTGATCAAAAAAAGGGCCACAATCCTGAAAACAAATATATTCCCACCTGGGACCACCTGTACAATCCAAGCAAGTCTTCTGTTCTTATTTAGACAAATGTTCACAAAATATTTTACATAGAATTTGCCAACATTTGCCTCTGAAGAGATCGTACATATCATCAGTACAAGTTTGTCACCATCACAGAAGCCGTCTGGAGATGCAGGCTTGCTGCACTTGCGATGCATTGTTTGTTTTTGTTTAACTGAACCAGAAGAGAGTGGGTGATTTATGTGCAGTCACAGTGCACAGACAATGTCTGGTTAGATAAAGTGCATTTCATTCTGCAAACACAAAATGGAAGAGAGCCACGTGTAACCTGCTTAGCAGGACTGCTCAGGTTAGTTGGTTGGGTTCCAGCACTTGTCAACAGTGACTAAAAATAATTCTTTTCTAGCTGTTTAGGGAGCTTATGAGATAAGCAAGAGAGGGGTGAGATAAGCAAGAGAGGGGTTCAGCCTTTTTTGCAGAAGTTGAAGCAAATTTGCAGCCTTCAGTTCCCCCTACTGCAAGGATTGTCTTGTATCTCAACAAAGCAAGAGAAGGTGGCAATAAGGAGCTGCCACAACCTCAACGCATTTTGCCAGTACTGTCCCTYGCACTCATGGGACCTGGATGCACAGCTGCTGTCTCAAACCCTGGATGCTTCCAAGGTCTCCCTTTGATCAGAAGGGACTTTACAATTGCTATGGTTGTGTGTGGTGTGGACAGCAGAAGAAAGAAAACGGAGGAAAAAGAGAAGGGAAGGGAAGGGAAGGGAAGGGAAGGGAAGGGAAGGGAAGGGAAGGGAAGGGAAGGGAAGGGAAGGGAAGGGAAGGGAAGGGAAAAATCTTAATGGGAATCATCTTATAGCCTAACTTCTTGGGGCCTACCAAGGTAGGTTCTTTTCAAACTTGATCCCTACAGCAGCCTTTCTGAGGCACTTAAGAGCTAATGCTACTCCTTCTAACAGACTTAAATACAGGCTGATGTTGAAAACCATAAAAATCCAGGCCTGAAATTTTAACGTGGGAGTCAATGTAAGAGGATGTGATGGGGAAGAGAAGATAAGATAAGCAGAGACGCCTGTGTGCATATGCAGGCTCAGCTACATGGAGTCCTCCCATGGAGAGGGAGGACAGTGTGAGTCCTCCCTCTGAAATGTGTCACCCTGTCACACGGACTGTGCTAGCACGCAAACTCCCAGGCTCAGAGAGGGAAGGGAAGCCCTACAGTATTTTATTTTATTGTATTATATTTTATTGTATTTTATTTTATTGTATTTTATTTTATTGTATTTTATTTTATTTTATTTTATTTTATTTTATTTTATTTTATTTTATTTTATTTTATTTTATTTTATTTTATTTTATATCCAAGTGGATGGGAAGAAAAGCCAAGCAATTTACTATATGCTGCTGGGAGAGTGTGGCAGCCCCGGCAGCAGACACACTCACCGGCTTGGGGAAGGGCTGCGGAGGTAGTGGGCCTGCACCGCCTTCACATCCGATCTCTCTTCCTCTTCATCCGGCACGACTTGCTCGTCACCTGCGTCTCTGCTGCTCGCCATGGCAGCTGTGAGAGGGTTTCCTGGAACACAAGCAGGGCACCATGACAGGAGTCCATTCTGGGGGCACAAAGCTGTCCAACATCCCCTAGCAGCCCAGGCACAACACGGGTCACTGCTGCTGGCCTCTGCTTCTGCAGGTAATAGGGAAGATTTGTGCCAGAGGCTGCTACAACAGAAGGATCTCTGAGTGGAAGAGGTAGAGAGGCAGAGGACAAAACTGTGCGAGAAACCTTTGCTGCGAGTCAGTCACACTGACTTGTCTGCTGGGGTGCCCTGCGTTCCCATGGCCTCATGCAACTCCCTGGCTGCTTCCCAGAACATGCCAATGCCCTTCTTGCCCATGAGTAAGCAGGCAGGAAGGCCTGGAAGCAAGGGGTGGTAGGGGAGAAACTCTATCCCACCCTTGGCTAGCTCAGCCCGTGGACAGTCTCTAGAAGGAGCTGTATCCAGCCAGAACGGGAGCGAGAGACTCATAGAGCACCAGGGGCAAGAAACATGAGACCTTACCTCCCCAAAGCAAAAAACTCCTAAAGATAAAGCCCAAACTCTTGGCTTCAGCCAGCTTTAAGCCCCTGGAATGCCTTTCCGTGAGCTCACCATACCCACCCGGTACACCAAACTGCACACAGGATARCGAGGGGGGCTGTTATTCAGTTAGGAGCATGAAAAAGTAGTAGCAGTTACTCCCTCTGGTTTCAGAGAGAGGGTCCTGCCAGCCCGCAGGCCTCGGAGGTGCCGCGCAGCTGCTCTCACACACGAGGAACACAGCCATGTTCCGTAAAAGGGCGCCGAGCGGTGGTCGCCGCTTATGGAGGCGGCAAGCAGGGAGGCAAGGAAAGGGCACTTACCGTCGGTATCCACTGGAAAAGTGGCCGGTTGCTGTCTAAGGCACAGCGGTGGAGTCCAATAAAGAGGGTAAGAAATTTGGCAGGAAATCGTACTAGGGAGAGAGAAATCAGCTGCCCTCTCTCTCTTTCTGTGGCTTCTTCATCGAGGGGCAGGACAACTGTCAGCACCAAACCTTTATCAGCTTTCTAAATATAGTGTTGTCCTGACGCTGGCTGCTGGATTGCATGGGGAAAGAATTCCGTGCCTCATGGACTGCAGTTGGTCAAGCATTTAACTCTTTCCCTGCTGGCTGGACCCTCTGACATTTTCATTGTGGGARGCACTCAGAGAACTGTCCAGAGACAGAGGAATGAACCTGGGCCTGCAAGAGGCCCCCAGGCAGCCAACTCCCCACTAAGCAAATCTGAAATGCTGGTACAACCTCTAAGGTGCTTGTGAAATACAGTATGATATATGCCGCTTCAAACTCACTGGAAGCCAGCAACCATGGCTGATTCTCCTTTTCAGCAGGGTTAAGACCAAGGGACACTGCATCTTCCCCTTATGTGTTCTCAAACAAGAAACCTTCACTTCCAATTGGCTGACTCCCCAGCAAAGCTCAGACCAAGCTAGTCCACAGCAGAATCAGATAAAAGCCTAAAATCTATTTACCTGTCCCGGTGGCTCCTGTTCCGAACCACGCAATGACGTCCACCTGTTGATTTCTTTGACAAGCACACAAGCAAATAAGAAAGAAAGTGGAAAAGAGGACTGGCCTGTCTCATATCACCGGCACATTTGCTGCTGCATAACACTAAGGGGAGGAGTGTGTTGCTGCTTGCCTCATACTGGGATGCTGCATCCCCACATGGGAATGGGGACACATCTGCAGGGATGCCACATCAGGGCAGGGAGGAAACAGCTACTCTTGTCTCTGGGCTCATATAGCTCAGGCTTGTCTTAAACATGTTGTTGATAGGTGGACAAGCAGAAAGAGGAAAAAGTGGTATATTGTATCCTGAGTGTCACACCAAAGGAAGCAATGGATTTGGATGGATCCTAATGGTTTCAAGTACTAAAGGAGGATGGCTTGTATTGATCCGATTGGTGTCTCCTCTGGGCAATGCAAGTCTTAGTCAAAATTCTGGGTAATGCAAATAGTTCCATGTCATTTCTGCGATGATAAGCAGCATGTGTGCTTATTACCTGCTACTATTTGAGGCAGGAAGTGATCTAAGGAAGTGCCTATCAGCTCCTATCCAGGAAGTTTGCCTATCTCCTCACAACAGCAGAGATTTTAAAGGCTCTGAATGCTGCAAAAGAAAACACACCTTTAGGCATCCAACTTGTAAGTCACTCAGCTGCTTCTGAAAATGTTGTTCTTGCATCTTTCAGAATACAACTGCAGCAGTGGATGATGGAGGGACTTGAAAACGCTGCTGTGCTCACCATGACTGTTGACATGTGGAGATGCAGACAGCTTCTGCAGGTGCTATGAACTTGTGGAGAATACACACCAGCGGGTAGGCTGGCATCTCTTCCTCACTGTTTATTGCAAGTTGTTGCTTTGTAGGTTCAAGATGACCATTCAAGACAAAGGCAAGGACACTAGAAATCTTTGTTAAAGAGCGTAGAAAACATACAAACTTAAAAGAAAACAGCATCATTTATATGGTTTGATATGTATTATTAATCAATAATATACCAGTTCACAGATTCATACAACCAAACATGGCCAGGTGCTATTGCCTTGGTGAGTGAGATGGGAATCTTCATAGAAAGTTCCTCCTCTCTCTTCTTTAAGAAGAGTCATTGTCTTTTCTAGCGTTAATTATATGCTAAATATGCATTAATCCTCATACATGAAACTTATAGGATTATGTGTTTTTGGCAGGACAATGAAGCCATCCCAGCTTTGTATCAAGGCTTTGCATATCAACAGTCGTTTCATTTATATGAGCTAATCATACTCTGACAAAAAGATTTCCCACAGCTGTAGCTATCAGCAAAACCAAGACTTCTAAGTTTTTACATTGCACAAGAAGTGAGTGATCGAGAAGGCCACATCTGTCTGTGCTGATACAGGGGCCTGTATCAGGCCTGTGAGCCTAAGTAGGCCTATGGCAAGGTTTTGGCAGTGTTATAAGTACTTATAGCAGTGCTATAGAGTGTAGTAAACTTCTGGTATGATTTTTCCGGTCATACTAAACAAGGAAAGAAAGTCAATACAAAAGCATACTTAAAAGGTAGTGTTCTTAAAAGCATACTTAAGGTAGTGTTCTCCTCTGTCCTTCCAATGAGGGGGATGGATTCAAGTAGGAGAAAACGGATAGGTGAAATCAACAACTGGCTGCGCCGCTGGTGTTGGCAACAGGRTTTTGGCTTCTATGACCATAGGACTCTGACGACCACCAGCTAGTGGAGCATGGTGGAAACCACCTCACCAAGAAGGGCAGGCGGGTATTTGCCAAAAGGCTGGCCAATCTCDYTAGGMGAGCTTTAAACTAAGCAGGAAGGGGGAGGGGGAGTGTCATATGGACTGGGGAATCAATCSTGTAAAACCTAAGCCAATGGATATCCAACAGGCCTATGGTGGTGGGGAAGTACGGCTAGGGCATGATCATAGAGGATCCTCTCTCATGCCTCCTGGGAAAAGTTCAGCCTCGATTACCTGCCTGAAATGCTTATACACCAATGCACAAAGCATGGGGAATAAGCAAGACAAACTGGAGATCTGTGTGCGGTCCCAGCACCACGATCTCATAGGAATCACAGAAACGCGGTGGGATAGCTCTAATGACTGGAGTGCTGTCAACCTGGGAGTGGATGATG